AAAAAATGACTACACATTATCATTAGTTTAGGCATTGGTATGAAATTTAAAACAAGGTTGAAAATAGGAAATCACACAGGTATAGGCCAGCTATGAACCACAATACATGAATTGTTGACGTGTACAATTAAACTCTTAACTGACTAGACATTATCCACATGTCCACACAAATAATAGGGATTGGTAATAGGGCAAACCTTTCAATAAAATTCATTCACAACAGCAGAGTCATACCTACCAGATAAATACATGTCATATCGAAACTAGCAGGGCAAGAAAATAGCAAGTACTAGATGGTAGGTAGTTCCAGGCCACCATTCACTGGGCATCTCCAAGTAAAGACTCAAAAACCAAAGTTCAACCTTCTATGCCCTTGTCTAACAGTCAGCTCACAGTAGGAAGTTTCAACCTGAAATCTAAGGGATACAGGTGAGGTTGAGGTAAAGCCCAGTTCACTTATTGGGGTTTCCCCATCAAGTCCTTCTGGTATGGCCTATTTAGGATGTTGTACAAAGTTGGAATCTTTACAGTAGCAGACCACCTCAGCTTTCTCCGGCAAACCACCAATCTTCCTTCCCAGTAAACAGCCCAGATCTTAATCCACAAAGCCACCAGAACTCCTCTGAACTTTACAAACCAGAGTAAAACTGGCCTTGTATTCAAAGTATAATGGGAAGTTCATGGCCTTGACCGAGTTACTTGCTCTTTCTGGATCTCAACTTCCTCATTTGCAGAACGGGGGCAATGAGGACTCGCCTCATCAGGCTGTGTTGAAATTAAATGAAGAAAAAGAAAACAGAAGGCTTCCTCAGCACCAAGGGAATGTCGCACAAGGAGTAGTCCAGTTCCCTATTATGACTCTACCTTCTAACCTGATCTGTTTTCTACTCCCCTGTTAAACTTCCTTAGGGTTTGTGATCTGTTGATCTATGAGCCCACAATTCCTAATGAAGAGTGAATGCAGAAACGGGACCACGATGTGCTTATTGGATACACTTATCAGAATGTTTCCACCAACTCCAGTGGCATGGCTCCACAGAACTCCCTCTCGACCAACCCTAAGGAAACCAAAATGCCTGAACGCACTGCCAGGTAAGAACAGGAGGCCACATCACACTAATGTGGCGTCTCTGGGTCTCCCCCTCTAGCCACCAAATGTTGCTTCTTGGTCCTAAAGCATAGTGCAGTTAGAAAATTATTCTGCTGCTGAAATCAGAACCAATTAAAATCCATCCATCTTGCCATTCTTTCTTGGCACAGCCATACCATCTCCACCCCCTAAACAATAAAGGGCCTTTGCCAAAGGCCTTTAGAGCCAGTTTTATGGCAGCT